GGACAGCCGCGGGGCTGCGCCGCTGCTGCCTCTTCCCCCGGGACTGCTTTCTCGCCACGGCAAAACTGGCACACTACGGGCAGAGGGAAACTTCTGTTGGGTCTTACGGTGGCATTTGCGGAGGCAAACCGCAGAGCAGCGGGAGACCCGGGGTCTTCTCCTGCGTCTGTCTGTGTACCGGCACACACGCTCACTTGGCGTGTCCCCTGTGGATCCGTTCAGGTTTTGAACGCGCGAGGCTTTTTGGTGGGGACACGTTTACGGGATGTATCGCTGACTGCGAAGAGCTACCTTTAAAAGCCCGTGTGGACTAAAAAGCATTTCGGTTCATAATGCCTTTTGAGGGGACGTGCTTTTGAACCCGTGGGGACTGAATGCTGTACCTGTAGTAATCCTCCTTGCAGTAAATACTGCCGTCCTTGGCAAAGCAGGTGAGTTCTGACTCCAAAGCCAGTTTACATTCACAGCACTTAAGACACCTGAGGTGCCATTGTTTGTCAACAGCCAGCAGGTAATATCTGTCTGAGATCTTCCCTCCACAACCAGCACACAAAGCAGGCTTCTCGGGGCTCATTGGGGGCATGTTCTGCAAAACAACCACACCACAAGGAGATGAGACAGGGAAAGAAGGACAAGCGGGCGGCCCGGGCTGGGCACGGCGGCCGGTACACGGAGATTGACCGCTCGCTGGGACCGACCCCCCTGCTCCCGGCGGGAAGTTTGAGGGGCAACCGGGACCATCCTTGCTAGGGAAGCATTTACGGCGATTCAGCTTTCGTGGTTATCCCATTAAAGCTCTCGTAACGATCTAATGTCATTTCAATACGGAAAGACAACTGATTAGGCCTCAGAAAGAAAAGCAGAGCCCATTCTTTCCTGAGGTACCGAAGTTAACGCCTGTAGTTTCCCCTTTACTTTGGCGTTTTATTGTAAGAGCACTCCTCAAGAACGGCATTTTAAAGTAGGAAAACACCGGTTTGCTGCACCAAAACTTTATGGCAGAGGATGCAGACTTGCCCCAACTTTCCACTAAATTTTCAGCCGCGCTTAAAAGAGCCCAAAACCCCGTCTCCAAACCAAGCCAGGCCATTTAAAACAGGAGTAAGGGAAAGGGGACAGGTGGATGGTGTAAAGAAGAGTGAGCGACAACGCTCACCACCCCAGGGACTCGGGCACAGGCTGGTCTCAGCTAAACCCAGTGTGTTTTCATCAGGAAACTTCTTCAAGATCCCGTTAATCTGCTCCCCACGAGGAGTGTGGCTCGGGACAAAGGGAGACGGAGGGACGGCCGAGACAAAAGCTCTGCCGGGAAACTCGGGGCAGCGTTTGCTGATAAACAGGAGGGGAAAAAAAAAACCCGAAATCTTGTTCTAAAGTCGCAACTTGTTTAAAAGTGGCAACTCCGCATTTTCCAGTCTGAAGCTGTGTCCCTCGCCCCTCTTTTTTTTTTTTTTTTTTTTTTCCAGCAGTTGAAAAAGCGAGTTGAATTTACATTGCAAATCCTCGTATAACAAAGCGGGAGTTTATTTAAGAGAAGGGGGGAAGGACCCTATGGCTCAAAGCCTTAAAGCAGTTTTCCAGGCCGTTACTTTGTGTGCAGAGCCTTGTGCGCGACCGGCGGAAGCCCTACAAGTTGGAGAAAAGGCGATCTCGCTTTGCACAGAACAGCGTGACACTCGGTTTCTCCGCCATCCCCTTAGTACGTTTGTGGAGACTTTGGTCCTTTGAGTAAGCAAAGAGATGTTACTGCTAAGCAAGGTAGTCGGCGGGTATAACATTCAGAGAGAGCGGTGCCTCTTTGGATCAGCCCCACACTTCGGACTAAAAATGGTCACGACAAGTAAGCGGTCGCGGTTTGCGGTTTAATTTAGGAGGTGCCAGGAGTGCAAAAAAAAGTACAGCACACCTCCGAAACTCCAGCTGGAGCCCGCTCGGGCAGGCAAAGCGGTTGCAGCGAGCCGAGCAGAGGCAGGGGCTTGAAAAACCGCCCCGGTTACGAGCTAAAAGCTTTCCTCCTGTTACTCCGGAGAGCACACGCAAGGCATCGATTACACGCATGTGTAACTGGGCCTGGCCGCACGGCCCCCGGCACCACGGTGGGTGTACAGGGAGCCCCGGGAGGGTTTCTGCAAGCGAGGGGTAGGAGGGAAGGGCAGGAGGAAGCAGCACCTTTCTCTTCCCCAAAGCCGGAGGTTCCCTTCAAAGGGTGCCAGCTCCTTTCTTACCGTTTCTCGGCCGTTCATTTGTCCCCCTTTGGTCAGGCGGGACTCGGTCTTGGATCGCCTCTCCATCTCCTCCATGATTCCTTGGATGTGGCCTCCGGAGATCCCGTGGAAAAGCATGGCTGGGGGACGGAAAGGACAAGTATTTTCTTCTGCTCTGCACCCCACTATTTCCATATACAGACCCCAGAGTCTTTAGATCATCCAAAATGTACACCAAGGCGCACAGCGCAGGGAGGGAGGTTGCAATAGGAGCTTCTCTTTGCACAAGCACCGAGGGCTTCCTGAAGATGTGCAGAAAACAAACAAGGGGGAGGGGAGGAAATGTAATAATAATTAATTTTAAAAATAAAATAATAAAAGCGAGC